AGCAGGAGCAGACTGGCCAATTAACTGGCCGGGAAGGTTCCCGGAGGGCGGGCCTTTGGTAGCCAGGAGCAACCTGACCCAAGTGCTGGCCACGCCCCCGGGTCTACTCAGCTCAGATTCCGGCCACAGGAATCTGCAAGATCTGAGTCCAGTAGCAACAAGATTTGGGGGTGGGGTGTTAGGAGATTTCGAGAGTCAACGCTCCCTTCGTCAGATCCCACGTCAGAGTTTTGGCTCTTGAAAGCTCCTACCCTGAAATGCTTTGTTAGTCTCTAAGGATCAGACGGCTCTTTAGATCCGCATGAGGCACTCATGCCTCATGGATTTAAATGTAATGTCCAGACATCAACATCTGGGAAACGTCCGTCTTCCATGAGCATCCCGTTTTGGCACGCTTTGCAGCCGTACTAAAAAGATACTACTTCAGATCTGGAGTTTTCGGTTCCCGACGGGCCATTTGCGGACTTTCCCCGTCTGATTGTTCCAGCGCGCACCCAAACGGGTGCCATTTTTAAAAAATCTAAATTCTGTGCATGTGCTGATAAACAAGGCCACGATATCATGCCTATGTGCATGCGCAAAAAGTTTGTTTTTTTAAAAAAAAACCCACCGTGAGTGCCTCCTTCAGTGGACGCCGTCTAGACAATCCACAGTGGAAGCAGCGCGCGGTAAGGCGATTCCCTGTGGGGATGTCTGGTCGTGTGAGGACGGATTTAAAAGATCGGGATCAAATGTGAGCCCGCATAATGGCAGGATTAGCTGCCCGTCTGAACACACCCTAAGGTGCAACTGGACTCAAAACTCCTGTGCTCTACTGCATACCAAAAGGGCTATGCCCTGAAACTAGGCCACAGTGGCAATGGACATCATCACTATGGCCCCAATCAGTGCTCCCTCTAAGCTGTGGAGTCCTGTGTGCACAGAAATTCTACTTTGGGAGCTACTGGTATTAAACTTGTGAGCAAGCGATTTGGCTACTGCATAAATTAGTTTGCTCTGGGGCCATCCTTCCCGAGCTAAGACAAACAAGTGTGAGCTGGAGGATAAAAAACTGTGAGCTAGCTTACACTAACTCAGCTTAGTGGGATCACTGGCCCCGATCCGTGTTCCCTCTAAGCCGTGCTCATGGACACAGGAAGCCCCGCCCCGCAGCAGTCTGGAGCCACGCAGGGTCTTCCATGGCCCATTGCCCATTTTAAGATTACAGCAGTGATATTCTGCTCTGGGTCTGAACTGCTCCGCTCAATGGGGGGGGGGATTAGAGGGAACATTGGCCCCAATCTAAGTAGAGCAAACCCTATGGCAGTGCCAGCACCTCCAGGGCCCCTTCGCCCAGCTTACTCCAGGACTGTTTTAACATCCCAATCTGCCCCTCTGCTCAAGGAGCGAAAGTCCAGTGCTTTTTAGGCACACAGACTTGACAGCCAGTTCAAAAACTGGAAAACTGGGACCCAGCAAAGCCGTTTCCTTGATGTTTTCCTTTGGGCACCCCTTTCGGTTTCAATGTTCTAGGATTAACCCTGTGGAAGTTGAATCTCACCTGTCTGGAAACAGCATCTGATGCATATTTTGGTGCTACTGTGGTCTGACAATCCCCCGAGCAGTATTAAGAGGACAGCCGAACCATGGCTGGTATCTGTAGAGCTGCCTAGAGCACTCATGCAGCTGACCGTCCGAGGGTCTGACCTTCTAATGGTTGCCTCCTTTGCAAAGCGCGTAAAGACTCTCCCAAAGCCTAGGAAGACATTCCCGGGGGACAGCACAACGCAAAGAGCTTGCAGGCTGAACTGTGGAAAACAGGAGCTGAGGTACACCTGTGGGATTTTGTGCGTTTGCTTAACAGTCTCTCTGGATCTCCGTGCACATCTTGTATTTCCAAAACCGTCCACAGCTAATGTGCTCACAAGCACAGCGTAATGTGTTTACATGTTCCATCGCAGTAGAGAGAGAGCACCTTTCAAGCTGCAATAAGAAACTGTAGAAAGACAGATGGATGTCAGTTATTAGAGTGTTCTCCCATGTAAATGATATGCAAATGTCCTGCTTTTCCTCTCCTCCACCCCTTCCCCTTTCCTGGAGAGCCCCTCCCCTTCTTCAGGACTGTGGTTCACACAACGTAACTGTCAGTAGGATCCAATTTGTAGCTCATAGAAATTGTAGGTAAGTGACGTGGTGTCCCATACAAAAAAGCAACAACACAGTATTATCATAGTGCTGTAGACATTTGTCTTCTCTGTATTGTCTTACGGTGTATTTTAAACAAGCTAGAACTGTCATAACAAAGGTATAATTGTAGGTGATAATCACTGTTCAAAATGGAAGCTAACAGCTTCACCCTTAAACGAGGTCTACGACTCGTTTGCCAGGAAATCAGTAAGTCAAATCACTACTTTTTAATTCAAAAGATGTTTGCTTCCAGAGTCCTTACAATTTGTAACCAAATGTTTGTTTTTATGTGATGTAAAAATGTCAAATCTGGTTTTCTATTTTTCCATTTTAATTAATATAAAAGCATCTTCCCTACTGTCTCTGGGTCAGGTGTTCATGTTTGCCTACACATACATCCTCACACTGGTGAAGAATGATTCAGAGAGAAAATGAGACATGGGATACAGTATCTTGTATGTTATACTGGATGCCCTCTCTGGAGGGTTTGGAAGGCCCACTTAAGTGACCCTGGTCGCAACGACACTTGTACGAACATAAGAAGAGACCGTCTGGATCAGACTGAAGGCCCATTAAATTAGCATTCTGGTCACACGGTGGCTGACCAGCTGCCTCTGAGAGAATAACTGCAACAGCATCCTCTTGCTCATGCCACCCAGCAATGGGTACAAAGGGCCATACATCCTCTGGCCCTGGAGGGAATAGATATCCATCATGACCAGGGGTCATTTCCTATAGGAGCACCCAGGAGCGAAGCTCCGGCAGTAAAGAGCCCAGGGGGCGGGCACATGCAACAAGCCCCACCCCCTGCTCCCAGCAACCCTCAGTCAGAGCAAGAAGCAGCCAGGTAAGTTGCAGAGCCCCCCCCCCCAGTCCAAAACAGTCCAGTGGCACCTCTAAGACCAAGTTTTATTCAGGTACAAGCTCTCCCTCCTCTGTGAGGACAGATCTGCACGTTCCTTCCCCCCCCCCCCCCCAATAGCTAGCAATCCAAAACAGTCCAGTGGAGCCTGAGCGGTGGGTGTTGCCTTCTGACACACTTCTGGTGATGTCACGGGGTGTGGCATATGCAAATGAGTTATGCTAATGAGCTCCTGCACCTCTTTTTCTACTAAATGACCCCTGATCATGACTAGTATCCATCGATAGCCTCGCCTTCCATGAAGTTGTCCACTCCCCTTTTAAAGCCTTCCAAAGTGGCAGCCATGACCACATGCCATAGTAGTGAGTTCCACAATTTAGCTATGTGCTGTGCGAAGAAGTACAAAATTATCCATGGGATAGAGAAGGTAGAGAAATAAGTACTTTTCTCCCTTTCTCACAATACAAAAACTCGTGGGCACTCGACATTGATGAGCAGTCGGCTTAGAACGGTCCATGGGGTTATGCGGTCCATGGGGTCGCAAAGAAAGGAGGCTAATCAATATTTAATTAATTAAATTTGCACCCTCGAACAAGCAATAATGTATAAAAGCAAACTGCCGTACAGTACCTTTTCTGTCTATCTAGTATACTTTTCCCCCTGACCTTTCTTATAGCAGCACACACGATTCTCCCTTCTGCATTTTATCCTCGTTTCAACCCTCGGGTTAGGTTAGGCTGAAAGAAAAAGACAGACTGGCCAAAGGTGAGTTTCAGGGCCGGGTGAGGATTTGAACCCAATTCTCCCAAATCCTGAGCCAACTTTCTGACCCCTGCACCTCACAATAACTGGCAGCAGGCAATAAGAAAAGGTCGCAGAATCACAGAGTTGGATCTACAGGCCATCTAGTCCAACTCCATGCTCAAAGCAGGATCAGCCCAGAGCATCCCTGACAAGTGCTTGTCCAGACGCTGCTTAAGGACTGCCAGGGAGGCAGAGCTCACCACCTCCGGAGGCGGCCGATTCCACCCCTGCACAACTCTTACTGTCAAAAAGTGTTTCTTAAGTTCCAGCCGGTACCTTCCCTCCCTTCATTTAAGCCCATGATTGCAAATCGTCTCCTCTGCTGCCAACAGGAACAGCTCCCTGCCCTCCTCTAAGTGACAGCCCTTCAGATACTTCAAGAGAGCAATCCTGCCCCCCCTCTAACC